AAAATATAATTTGTTATTATTGTTGATAATAAAGATAAGTTCAAAATATATATTTTTTTTGTTTTAATTAATGTATTAAAGATTTAGTTCTTTCAACTAATCGGTTATTCGAATGATCTAGATAATTTGAATAATCATCATTAATCAATGATTAATTTGAATATAATTGATTATAAATTTTATGAACGATTGATTAATCGAATACTAAATTTTTGACCGATCCAGACCTTTATTAGTTTTTTTATTTATTAAAGAAATAAAAAATAAATATTATTTATTATATAATAAGATAATAGATTCTTTTATTCTTTTTTGTATTTATATATAGATTCATTTTTATTTATTAAAATAAAATTTATTTTATTTATAAAGAAATAAATAAAAGTAAAGTAAAATACTTTTTCTATTACATAATAAGAATATAAGATAAAAAAAAATAAAAGTAATAAAAAAACTATAAAAAAATAAATGATAAAATTTATAAAAAGTTATGAAAGAGTATTTTTTATTAAAAATAGAATATTATTTATTGTTGTTACATTATTTTATTTATTTTAGTTCATATTTAGAAATAAATTTTATTATTATGTAGAAGTTAATATCTAACTTCAGATTTGTCTAGTTGAAAATACTTATAAAAGTATAATATAACCTCTTTTTTTATGTAGTAGATCTTCTTAATACATGTTTTTTAGGACTAGTATTTTTTTATTTTAACTATAGTAAATCAGTAGATTGATTAGAAGTATTAGATCGATTATTAGAAAATAAAGATATATCATCTAATTTTAAAATGTGTTTTTCAGAAATAGTTTCTTCTGCTGTATTACTATCGATAATAGGCTCTTGATAATAGAAAGTCACATTAAAATTGCTATTATAGACTTTAAGGTTTGATTAATAGAATTTGTCTTATTAGTCAAATAGCTAATTTTTGAATTTGTCTCATTTCTAACTTAAAGTCTTTTGGTTCTCTTTCTCCTAGATTTTCTTTTATAAAAAAATCAAGAACTGATTTGCTATTAACATTTTTAACTATTTGTATAGTTTATCCTATTATCATAATATTTATTCTTACAGCTGACATTGTATTAAAGTCAAGATTCACCATGAGTTTAATAAAAATAATATTTACTTAATTTAAATTAATAATATAGTAGTAATTTTAGTATAAACATTTTATTTTCAATTAAAAAAAATATTAATTTTTTTTTAAAAGTAAAGTAATAACATATTATATACCAACTATTATAACCAATAAATTTGTCTCTTAAGTAAATTACTTGAGAATTTTCAAATTCTTCAATATTGTTTTCAATTAATTCTCTATTTAGTGGAACAAAAGCTTTAATTTTTAAATAAATAATTTTTGATTGGTCTTCAATGCTCAATTTTACAATTTCAGTAATTTCTTTAATATTGTATTCTTTTGTTAATCTTTCAGTAAAGTTATGAATATAACATATTGTACTCAATTTAGCTGATATTAGAAAAATTTTTTTTTTGTATAGTAAAAAATCGATTTCATTATTTTTTTTGATTAAAGGAATTTTTTGTTATTTTTTTTTTTTAGAAATTTTTTCAAGAGAAATTAATTCTTTTAATTAAATAAATATGTTTTTAGATCAGGTTTGTATCAGTTTGATTTTTTTTTTGAGTTTAGCATTGTAAATTTGATCTTTTTTTTTGTTTGATTTTTTTTTGATTTTTAGCATTGTAAATTTGATTTTTTTTTCAAGTTTAACATGATAAATTTCTTTTTTAAGTTAAAGTAAAAACATTTTTTTATATAATCAATTTAGTAAAAAAAAATTAATTTAATAATGATAGTATTTTGTTTATATTTTTTATTTACTTATTTTACTTATTCAGATGTTTATTTACTTATTTTGTATGAAAAAGTTAAGACAAAAATCATTTTTATGTAATTGATTTATTAAAAAAAATTAAAAAATTAATGAATTTAATGTTAATAAGTTTATTTAAGATTTATGTAAAGCAAATTTTTATTATTTTTTTTAAAATAAATAAAGAATTTATCATATTTTTATATAAAATTTAAATTAAATAAATGTTTTATTTTGTTTTTTTTTTTTGTAGATTGAAATTTTTGAAATTTTTTTTAATAATAACAAGATTTTTTTTATTTATTTATTTTACTTATTTAAATGTTTGTTTCTTATTTTAGTTAAAAAAGATTGTTTTTTAAGATTAATTATGAAACATTTGTAGATTATATCTATATAAGAAATGGGCAAAAAAAAAAATAATAAAAAAGTTCGGAATAGTAGTCAACAAGAAAATTCCTAAATCGAACAAAGTCCAGTATAAAGAAAGATTTGATGTCAATTTAATTAATACGATTCACAAATGTAATTAGTTATCACAATCAAACCCTACTAAAGAAGTTTGAGAGTGTAGAATAAGTAATTTATTATTTTAAAGTTCCTCAAGCCTTTTCTCAAGGTTTGTTGATATGAACCCTGGAAACTCTGTCGAAAACCAGGATGAACTAATGGAATATTTATAGAAAATAAATTTTCAATTTCGTGTATAGATGATTTAGAGGATTTTTAATCTTTTTTGTTAGACAAATTTTGGGTTAATCAAAATGAATAATATAACGAATCATATTGAATTCGTTACATTATTTACTGTTTGGCGTGCGAAACTCATTATCATAAAAAAATATAATTAGGAATTTTTTACATCATCATTCATGCGATTTTAAGATAATGCATAAATAAGTAAATGATCGACAAGAATCAAAAATTATTATTTTTTTTTTGGAAATTAATTGCTTTAAAAAGAAAAATAAATTATATATAATTGATTATAAATTTTATTTAAAATACTGTCAAAAATTTAATCGGTAAATTCCTGTCAAAGAATATTTGATAACCCTTTTTTCTTCTTTCATTCTACTTACTAGTTTTCTTACATTTTTTTTTCTTACATTTTGTATGCATTAAAATGGTGGTACTTTCTTAGTTTGCATATTATGTCTCAGGATCCTGTGACCATTACCGTCAATAGTTTTATTCCAGATTTACCACATAATGGAAAACTGATATTTAAAGTAGCAATATCTCCACAAATGAAATATGTTTTAACATATAGTCAAGAAGATAAAACCTTTGTCAGATGGCTTGTCAGTACCAATACAGAGTCATTCGATCTTAGGATAGATGCCGAGTCATCAAAATTGGAGGAGGACATTAGTGATTTCAAGATCTCTGATAGCGAGATCATTTTGTATGATTGTGTTGGTTTAGGTAAGTTTTAAATTTTAATTTATTATTTCAAAAATAACAAAAAATTTAATGTAATTTATTTTTTATTTCGTGATTAGCAAAGTTTCTCAAAATTGATAATAATAAAAATAATAAATATATTAAAATTAAAGATGATTGTGATTACAGTCATACAAATTTTCTTGAAAACGGAAATATAGTAACATTTAAGAACAATAGTAGCGCTACAATAAATCCAACAGTTTTGATTTATGAACTTATGAATAAGAATGAATTGGCTCATAAGGTCTTTTATGTTTTCAATGAAAAAGATGTTAGATTTGGCGGTTTTAGAAGCAATAGAATGTGGATGATGGCATATGGTTTAATATTCCTGTTGGATTTAGCAACTTTTCAGCTTCAGGAGTTTTTGCTTTTTGTAAGTGTGTTTTTTATTATAGTTTGATATAAATTTAATAATATTAACAATGATAATTTTATAATGCAGGAAAAGAATTTAAATATTGAAAAAGTGAAATACAAGTTCTCAAAAAAGTTAATTATTATGAAAGTTTCTGATGCACATTACATTTATTCCAATAACATAGATCACATAAATTTTCCAATTGGAAAGATTGTAGATACTGGTATGAATTTCTATAAAAGTATTATTAAAACTTCTGATTATCAATTAATTTATTTTGTTTTTAGATTGTCAGGAATTTGAATTCGTCAGCAATAATGATGAATTCATGATTACATTATCAAATATTAAAAATATTAATATTTATTTTTAGAAATCAAACCTAAAAGGTACCATTAGTTTCAATAAATTAGTGGAATTTGATGATCTTGATAAAAGTATCCATATCGAATTCATAGATCAAAGGGTTTTTGTAGTATCACCTGAAAAGCTTTGTATTTTTAATATAACAAAGCATGATTGGAGAAATTCCATATTTAAAGATATGAATGATTATGATGACAGTCAAAATCATGACAATGATGAGAATATATTTATGGATATAGATCAAAAATATTCTTAAATTGAAGATAAAATGAAAGTGGTTGATGAGTATGTAAAAGACAAAATCCCTGAGAACATTCAAAAGACTCTACGTAATGTTATATTCAATCTTTATGATAATTGCGAATTAAATTCTTTAGAAATTAAATGTCTTGCTGATCCATCAGAAAATGAATCGAAAAAGCAATTAATTAATTATTTATTAAATGCAAAATATTATTTTGTAATATATGGAGAAATATTATTAAAATCAGCGATTAAACAAAATAATTTATATTTAATAGGTGGAATTTTTAACAAAACTATTGAATACTTTAGAGAGAATCCAAGAAGCAATATTTGTATATTATCAGTAATATG